CGTGACATTAAGGCTAAGTATGTGAAATAGAGTGTGTCTGCATGGCAGTTGGGCTCAAGTATGTGGAATAGAGCTTGTCTACATGGCAGTTTGGCTAAGTATGTGAAATAGAGTCTGTCTGCATGGCAGTTTGGCTCAAGTATGTGAAATAGAGCCTGTCTGCATGGCAGTTAGGCTCAAGTATGTGAAATAGAGTCTGTCTGCATGGCAGTTTGGCTAAGTATGTGAAATAGAGTCTGTCTGCATGGCAGTTAGGCTCAAGTATGTGAAATAGAGTCTGTCTGCATGGCAGTTTGGCTAAGTATGTGAAATAGAGTCTGTCTGCATGGCAGTTGGGCTCAAGTATGTGAAATAGAGTTTGTCTGCATAGCAGTTGGGCTCAAGTATGTGAAATAGAGCCTGTCTGCATAGCAGCAAGGCTAAGTATGTGAAATAGAACCTGTCTGCATGGCAGTAAGGCTAAGTATGTGAAATAGAGCCTGTCTGAAAGGCAGTAAGGCCAAGTATGTGAAATAGAGTTTGTCTGCATGGCAGTCAGGCTAAGTATGTGAAATAGAACCTGTCTGCATGGCAGTAAGCTAAGTATGTGAAATAGAGCCTGTCTGAAAGGCAGTAAGGCCAAGTATGTGAAATAGAGCCTGTCTGCATGGCAGTTGGGCTCAAGTATGTGAAATAGAGTCTGTCTGCATGGCAGTTGGGCTCAAGTATGTGAAATAGAGCCTCTCTGCATGGCAGCAAGGCTAAGTATGTGAAATAGAACCTGTCTGAATGGCAGTTGGGCTCAAGTATGTGTAATAGAGCCAGGCAGTAAGGCCTAAATTAACATATGTAACCGTTGAATACCGGTAAACCTTACATGGAAAGAACTAGTGACTTCATTAGGAAAGAATTAGTGACTTCAAGAACATAACACAACATTAAAGTGGTTATCTTCAACAGACAAGCCAGAGGGCCTTGTTTTGGGTCATGTGACTGGTGGTACTGGAATCGAAGACCACCATATATTACCTTGGGGTAGAAATCAATTGTTTATGCAGTAAACATGCTTGGATGGTACAGAATGTTTTACAATTAACAATATAACAGAGAACTACAACATGCATGACAGTGCAGTGAAAATAATAAATTAAAAGAAAAGAAAAGTTAGAAAAGTGTGTTTTACTGAATTTTATGAGTCTATGTAATGTAGTGAATAGTTTCCATATTAGAAATTAACTGTCATAGTAGAATGTAATACTATATCACACTTCCTTTTGAATTATAAATTTAAGTGACCACAAATGTGGCATGACATGATATGGACATTTCCATTGCCAAGTGATGATCCGGATAAATAAAAACTAGCTTAAAACAGCTTAAAGATACTTAAATCTGAATTAACTCAAAAACTGTTGATGTAACAACCATTGTCTAAAACTGAAAGAATATTTGGTAATGTTCAAACAAATAATGATAATATTGATGTGAGCATGAAACCTGTAAATAGTCTCTATTGCAATGACTATGCATAAACTGATCTACTATGGATTATTTATTTGTTATATAAATCGGGACATCAGAACACTGGCCTAATACCCTAATGGTATTACAATTTAGTGAGAACATGAGAACATGATGCTGATCTAATAGATTAATTATATTCCCGTAATATAACTACAAAGCACATGTAATCATAGTTGCAATGCTACCATTGAAATAGGTAGATTGGATAAACATAAAAATCGTTTTAATGCTTCTTGAGATACAACTGAAATAGCTTAAAATTCACACATTATTATGCAGATGAGCTCATTAATATGCATGGATGTCAACCAAAAACTAATCAAATCTGCGCATTGCCCCCAGACAAGCTATATACCAAGTTTCATTGAAATCCGAACATTGGTTCTTGAGATATCGATGGAACAGACAGACACACACACACACACAGACAGACACAGAGACAGACACACTAACTGCAAAGACTCCCTTTTTGGGCTTCGCACACAGGAGTCAAAAAGCATGGCGCATATGGCGCAACAACAAAGGATTACCAGTACTTTTCAACACAGATCATTAAGCATTAGGTATTGATGTGAGACAATGCTACATGTAGGAGAATGTGTGAAGCAATGTTCTTTGAAGATTAGCTATGCCTGCAGCTCACTTGACATTTTTATGCTTTGCTGCTGTTATTTTATCTTTTTATCGAATTCGGTGCCACTATCAAAGTATATATATATTGAAGTAGCATGTACCGTTCACGACTCTGTCATCAGGGCATACCAAAAAAATTTATTTTCATTCATTTGTCATTTATAAATACACTTTTCATAGGCAAATTTGTGTCATTTTAGACCTTCTTAATAATCTGCTGAAACTGAAACATATTAATAGTGAAACATGGCGTAGTTGCTGAATGAATGTGTCAATGTGTTGTTGACACTCCTGCCTGTCAATCAAAAATAGCACAGTCCATCACACCCAAGATGTGGTCTTTCAACGACAATGATTAACACCTGAATTGCACCAAGAAATGGTAAAATACCGAATCGCAACTCATTTAGAATTCAATCCTTATCATTTAAGACAACTAAATATTGAGTCATTTCCCATCCTACCATCTCCTGGTACCATCAACCCTGACGTTTAAACAATAGTTGGTATACCATGCGTAATTAAACAACGATTAAATATTGGCCCTTAAGTTCTTTCTATCAACATTTCAATATATTCCCCCAGGGGAAACTAGTTTTACTGCTCGGTTAATGGATTTTATTTATTGTACTAAAACAAAAGAATTTGTAGTACATGCAGATTTGTAGATCAACACGCACACATCAGAGTTTTGGCAGAACTGATTCTCGGATACACTTTTGAGTTACCCACACATACCTCCGCGGTTGCATAAAGAAAATAACAAAATAACCCATAGCAGTAGCACAATTATAATTATTGTTTATGTATGTATGACCCTAAGCTGTGATGTGTTTTATGTATTTTCAATGCACATGGTCAGTGCCATTGATTATACGGTATTTATTTTGATTTTGTCTCAAAATGTATCACTGGTAGCATTTAGTCATGTCTCATTTGTTTTTTTGAGAAGTTTAATTATTTTGCTGGCTTCAGGATATTGTGGTGATGAAAGTCCAGGTGAAACACATCAATAATTATTCCAACCATCAATTTCAACAGTCAATCAACAACTATGTTTTATGTATTAGCATAACATGCTTATGTTAAAGTTGTCAGAATTTTGATATTACAAATTGGAATATTGGTACATACGAGGGTATATTATATATAGCGAAAATCAGTGCAATTTAACAAATGAATAGATTGTACACTGATTGTACATGTATTTGTAATTAAATTAATCACACACACTGACTCAAAGAAAGTCAGAAACAATGTAGCCGATCGATGGTAAATCTAAATTCTAGAAGTCACACTACCGTAGTTGTTGCCCACTGTTGATAAACATGTGCCACCAGTTTGATGATAGATCCTTATTAATACAATATTACTAGCTGGAAGCACTCGAATAATAATTTTCAGGAATTTACCAGACAAAACAAAATGTTTAAAGCTGTTCATGTTGAGCTGTCGAGCTGTAGTTTTCAATCTCACAAAGAGAGTATATAACAAACATAATTTGAGGCAACAGTTCTTACAAACAACTTACAAAAGATGAGTGGCTCACACTCTCCTATCGAGCGATGTTGAACGTGAAATTGAGGTTGGTTGGTAGGCCCAGCTCGACTCGCAATGGTGCAATGGATGTGAATGTATGCTGATTATAAATAGGGCAGACAAGTAAACATGCAGTACAAGCAACTAGCATTAAGGATGGGCAGCTTGCAGGTGCAATACAGGAATGATCATCAATGGGCATGCTAGGAAATTACAGGAAAGAGACTTACTCGCACCTTTATCATCATCATTTATGGTTAAATCTATACACTCAGAATTACTTTCACCTTTCATGGTCGTTGATTTCTCCTTGGTGACAACTTCAAGTGAATCACTCAATTTGACTGGTATCGTTGATTTCTGTGATGTGGTGTCCATTGGTTCAATCACTGAAGTTTCTGTGGTGTCCATGGCTTCTTCAGCTGCATTACTACCACCTGAGGAAGATTTCTTGCATGGCATATTTGTTTTGAAATTAACTTTTTTAGCATCAGGGGTTTTTTCAACATCTGATGGGCCAGAATTACCCTCAAAGAATGCTGTGAGTGAATTTTCAAGATATTTTTTATCTTTGATGTCTAGTCCATCAGGAACCTCACCAGTTGGTGGTTTAATATCAGAGTCACTGGCAGAATCTGTTTCAATACTATCCTTCTTTATTTGTATGTTGACTTTTGATTGACAGCTTCCATCTTTTCGATCAACAGAAGATGGCAGAGTATTTTCATTTGGTTTGGGAAATATGTAAACATCTTCTTTGACTTCTATGTTTTCCAATTTGTCTTTTTCAGCACTAAGATGTTTTTTGTCATGATTGTTGATGCTTTTTTTGTTAGGTCTTTCAATAGCCCTGTTCAAAATGAAGAAACAGGAATAAATCAGATAGTGCAAAGGCCCAAGGTACATATGATATTTATTATTGTCAAGAAAAAGTAGTTTGCAGTAGTTTGGATTAAAAGATATTGTGAAAACAATAGTGTAGGCACATATTTAGACTATTATTAACATTTGAAGGACTGTTGAATTATTTAATTAATATGCATAAAATATTATAGAGATTGACCAAGCTTCATGCAGTATGATATTAGTTTGTTGAGTTAATAGGTTAATATTCAAAGGGACCTAAACATTATATATTGTGAGGTCACCGAAATAAACAGTTTTCATGAATATGAGACTCAAATTAGGAAAAATTTAAACATTCTAAAAAAGACATCTACCAGTAGGTAGAACTGATATTAATAGTATCATAGGCATGTTAAATTTAAGTTCTTGATATACCATAACACAAGTGCAACAATCTTTTCCATCGAGAATTTAGATTGAATAACAAATATGAATTCAGGATAGATACAAACTTACAAGGCATGTTTTCTTTACTCAACAAAACTATCTAACAAAAGTTTTATTTTCAGCCAAATTTTAAACCACATCTTAAAAAATTATACTTGCTATGCACAACAAAATTGAGCTTGGTTTCGACACTTTATAGTGATCAAAAAAGATTTCAAAATTTGAAGATATCAGATAAAAATTGTTATATAAAAAAAAGACGACAATTTTAAGTGAAATTTTGAAAAATGATCAAAATCAAACTTGCCTGGAAACCCAAACTGGTTAATAAAAGTTTGGATAAAACAATTTGAGGTGTTGTAACAGAAAAAAAAAATGTTTTAGGACAAGATAGACGACGACAACCTTTTGTTTTATTGACAACGATACAGGCAAGGTGAAAATAGAATATGATAATATACATTCCGACAGGCACACTAAGACAAACAGACAGACCAACAAACCAACAACTATGGGATAGTACTAAATCAAGTATGTAAGCATTCCTAGTATCCTCAACTTGACAATTCTACAAAACTACGCAAACAGGTCACCAGTTTATATTTTTTTTTAGTGAATACTGCACTGTGCATGTTTTACTTTAGAAACATTGGTGTATCAGGACTGTGAGTGTGTACCTACCACTGCTCAGTTTTCTCAGACGACTGTCTTCTTAAAAGCAACTTGCCAACTTTTTTACCAGAACTAGCATACAAAAGAAAATGTGGGTGAAGACTGTGGAAGACGGAGATTGACATTTATGTTGTGTAAGTGTATAGTACTTTGTGTCCTTCACCACGTGCATGTTATTAGAGGGCATTCTTTTCTAAGGATTGAAATATGAGTACATGAAAGCTGCAAGAACAGCTGTGTTTTGAGACAGAGACAATTAAAAAATGTTCATTCCAACATTAGGGTGCACTCCATGCATCATACATGAGATATAGCGGTTAAATTCCTTACCAAGAATAGAGAATGGAAAGAAAGTAGAGAACAACCACAGACATAACAATGACATACCTTGACAACTCCTCTATCTCATCATCCGTACTTGCAACAGTCACTGCAGATGAGGTTACCACTGAAACACTTTCACTGTCAGATGATATACTGGAAGAAGGAGGTGGAGGGTCATCTCCACTGCTGAGAAAAAAGACGAGTACCATGGGTACACAGTCACATATAGAGGTTAGAAATAAGACAACCATTGCTATCACAAACTGGTTTAGTATACTTGAATCCTGACGCTACACAGACAATTACCGCTGAGAATCTCATAAACAAAATTTGTTATTGCCCTTCTAAGCGACAGTTCTCTATGTGAATACTTGAAAGAGATTAACTCATAAAAGCGAGAAGAATAAATATATTTACCTAGAATCTGATGAATCAGATGAGGTAATATCATCAGGGTCTTTGACATCACTCTCATAACCTTCCTTATTGTTTTCAGCTACCTCTGTAGGTAAGTAAAATAATGACTGTAAGCAAGGGAATTTTCTTCACACTTTCAACATTTTTTTTTCAAAGTTGTGTAAATTCATGATAATATCATAGCTTTATCTCTCATTAATAATGTTAGCACTTACCTATGAGATCTAATTCAGCAAGATACTCATCCCCATATCGCTTACCATCTTCATTTGCCAACTCCTCTGTGAGTACTTCCCCAGCATATGTACACACAAATGCACCAAATGGTATGTCATCTAAACAACGTAAACCCCAACCCCTAGACAAAGTATTTGTCATGTTAGTGAATAAATCAATATTAGGTTAGTAGCTACTTTATATGAACAACATACCACATGACATGAAAGTAACATATTGGGACTCAAGTCAGTGAGGGAACATCAATATCTTCTACAAATTTACTAGCAATCTCTCAATCACAAATACCGGTAATTAGTAAACTTTTACATAAAACCAGGTGTGAATCAAAATTGTATGCAAACTCTTAATAACCAATGGTCTGAATTTGTGAAAAACAATATGTACTGAACATTAAATTTCCAATTACATTTAGCAATCCAAATGTTTCTGATCATTTTCTCTTCTCATCTGATTGCCTGTTTGTTAAAACCTTTGAATAGTGATGATAAGTCTTGATTCATACAGATGTGAATACTCCTGCATATCATACATGAAATACGTCACATAATTGTCTCAAGACCTATATTACATGTATGTACTAGATAGGGAACATTGCTGCACACAACATGTTCAACAACAGCAAACATAGCATGAGGTAACTGCAGACTAATGACATTGTTTTGAATTAAAAAACTGTCACAAATCCTGACCACACAACTCAGTAAATGAATCTAACACTTTTACATACATCCACAAATAGGTGAAGTAGAAATAGCAGATGTAATATTATACTCACCTTTTTTCAGTTTTGAAAACCTGTAATCTACACTGTAATTTGTGCTGTGCTACTCGGTTGAAGCAGGTGTGATTGCATTTACACCGTGGATTGCATTCATAAATACTGTAGTCAAAACAAACCAGTTTCCACAAATTAAAACACCTTGGAAAATAGCCTCTTACACATTAGTTTCTAAAACTGATTTCCACATAAGGTCAACAGTAAGCTATGCCTTGCACTAGAACTAGAAATATGTCTCACCCAGATGGTATCTGGTCATATACACTCCTGTACTCGTATCCAGCTTCAGGGTCTATTATTCCTGCTTTATTGGTTGATAAGGTTGCCTGGATTGTAAGCTGCTGACATGCGCATTTACTCTTGTCCTGATTTCATAAATTATAAACAATATAAATTGTTATTATTTTATTCAGCAACATGGAAAAAAGCAAATTTAATCAAATGGTTCATAAGTCACATAGCATGCGATAATTGATGAATACACCCTACTATGATACATGTAGGTGTTTGTGCTCAACAGACACAATGTATCAATACTAGGGTAAGTCAACTGAGCATTATCACTTAACATGCACATCACACAAATCAAGACCCCTGTCAGCTAATCCAAATTAGACCATTTTGTAGAGACTTTAACCTTTTCACTCGCAGATCTTCTTGCCCAAATTTTTATGTACTTTTCTCTCATATTCTTCAATATTTCAGGAAATGAATGCTACTTTTAGAGCCAACAGACAAAATTTTTTGTTCCAATCTTCTGAAGAAAAGTGCAGACTATAAACAGGGAGATTTTGTGATGAAAAAGGTTAAAAGCACACTTGTTTACGTACATTACTGGTGTGTTTCTAAAGAAGACAATAAGTCATACTGTAATAATATATGTACTTCTATTGGAGATGTACTTTTAAGGGCAAATATGGTATTTTGTTGGATTCAAGTGAGTAAGTTCAATGTATAGTTCACAGTAGAATAACCTCTATATTAAAGTACAGTAAATAGTCATGAATTTCAGTAAATGTATGGAAACACATTGCAACTGTTGTACACTGCTTTCGATAAAACTAGCTTTATACTGTTAAATACCACTAATTGATATTTATATCTAACTGGATACAAGTAATCACAGGAAACACCAATGAAGACAGATATTTTATATTATATACATTTCACTATGGGCGATGTAATAAAAAGTACTTACACGACAGCCATCAGTGCAGTCACAAGTAATAAAAAAATCTTCATCTGTGTTAATAGATACTCCTCTTGCACAAATTCTTTCCGAGGAGTATTTGGCAAATCGTGGATATTGGGTGTCAATTTCATTAACACACTAATAGAGAAATACAGATAGTATCAATTTAGATTTATACTTGTTTAGATTAACAACACAATGAAGGATAAAAAAAATAGTTTCTGATATTATGGTGAGACTGTAATTGATAAGTACGTGATGAAGTTTTTTCCCCCAAAATTTTAATAGATTTTCAATACACTCTGAGATTATTCCATAATAAGCTATTAGCAATAATAAAAAACAAAGGTTACCAGGCACATTTTTGATAAAACTTTACGTTTATAGTACAAAAGCTCTATGAGAAAAAATTTTCAAATATTAAAAACATTGTCACTGTTTTTTAAAACATAGGATAATATGATGAGGTTTTAGAGAACAACAACAATATGGGTAACTGGTCAATTTAAAATAGTATTCATTTTTTAATACTTTGCTCTACTCTCATACATGTGCAGTACTATTTCTATTTCTAAGTGCACATGCATCAACTTTAAAGAGTGTAATACAGAAACTGTAAAAACTACAATGTACACTCAAATATATTCAAATTTGTTTCCTGAAAACAATGAGATTTCAGATTGTTTTGCACAGAGATTCAAGCACCAGGTAGTTATATTCAATACATACAACGAAAAAAATATGTGTGATGAGATGATTAGTGTACAGTAAAAATATACTGAAATTGTTTTTATACTGTACTTACAGATACAGGGATTGGTTCCTGTCCCTCTGAGATGTCATTAATCATCACAACAGGTTTCGGGTTACGAATATGTGTATGCGTATGCACAAACTGGTCAAACGTGAACATATCAATTGTAAGATACTGTATCTCAGTTTCCAGAAGATAACGATCAACTTCTTTTATGTCACGCAAACTACGCCCACAAGGAGTGCGATAGAATACACTCCTCTTTCCACTTCCTCGTTGTTTTCCCAGTTCTTTTCTCCAGCCACACAACTCTGGCTTCAAGTATGGGTTCTGACCATGCAACCTGGCAGGATCAGGTGTACTGCTTGCAACACACTGAGGAGCACAGCTATGTGGTACTAAAGCAACAAAATTAAACATTACTCATTAGTCAGAATTGGTTGTCCTTACATAGACAGATTAGTTACTGCTCATACTTTAATGCATGGTTAAATGTGTAAATTTTTGCTTAAATATGATTTTCAACGAAAATTAACAATTGTTATTAATATCTGTGATGATTACAGCAGAACTAAAATAGGACTAATATTTTGTGGAAGGTGACAAGAGTTGACAATGGTGGTGAAAAGCCCAACTACAGCCAATTTGACTACTAAAAATAAACAGTGAAACAATAACATTTGAGGAATTTATAAAATTTATGACATGTACCTTAGTTTATACCTGATCATTCATTTTTCAACTTTATTTTCTATCATACATAAAAGTTCATATTAATCCAGAAAATCATTTGATGTACATAATCATTAATATATTAATTCACATAAGTGCATGTGCTACTAATAGAACAAATACGGTATTTAAAATTCGCATGACAACAATGATAATGTTGATAGTGTAACAGACATGTATTTTGTGCTATATATACATTTCCCTTGATTTGATTTCCAGGAGAATTGATGAAAACTCCACTTACTGAACCGTTTTCTCATTTCCACTTTTTTATACTGCTGCTGGGCATAGAGATAACTAAAATCAGATACTTGAGGAGTGTGCTGAGAGGAATCATTGTTATCTTGCTGCAACTGTAATCGAGACTGAAGAACACTTGCTATGTCCATCTTTTGCTGCGTCTGCTGAACCACACCTGTAATACAGTAATGGAATGTTCTAATATTTATGTGTATTAATGTAAACTTGGTTATTGCATTTTAGGTATTACAGTAACCCGTCTACAACATATCATGTTTTGGGTTAAGACAGGTTTCAGTGTTTGGTTAAGGCTCGTTTTACAGTAAACTAATGTTGAGATTCCTACCTTTAGTTGTATTACTTCTTGGCACGATCTTGGGGGTCAGCCAAGGAGCTTTCCATTGAGTATTGCCACCTAGTGGATCTTTTTCATCATAATTCAAAGGCTTATAGCTGGTTGTACTCTTTCTTGCAACCTTCAGATGAAATGAGGCTTCATACATTTAGAAATGAATTCTGTAGCTAATGTTAAAATTCTGTGAGTCAACAAGAACTGAGCTTTCTATGAGTGAATGACAGATGTGATAACTCTAGGTTTTCAATATGCTGGTGATTATGTGGTGACTTGAGTGAACCAATAATGCCATAATATCATAATTGACACCAGTCATTAGTAATATCATGCCAATATGATAAGGTTATATTTTCTAATGAATGACCCACAGAGCCATATTAGATGAGGAGTTGATTATATGCCAGCCAGTGCTGAGAGTCACAAGGTAGTATACTACTAGTAGTAGAATTGACACTGAAATCTAATAAGGCACTTTGGGGGATTATATATTGTTATTATGAATAACATTGATGTGTTACGTGTTTATTTTGACTGATTCTAAGAGTGCATAGCATTGAACCATGTAAGCCTGGAATAAGCACATGTATGTAGAATAATTAATCAAGTAATGTTACCTGTTTGGGTGCTGCAAATGACGTTGATTTCCTAGCAGTCTGTTTTAACTTCTTATCTTTTGTTGATTGAGTTTGTGGAGGTGGAGGTGTGGCTGACAAATCTAAGGGTCATGAGATTGTGTTACTTCATTTCACAAATACATTCACAGTATTTTCATTTGGTATATATTACATCATTAGCTTACAGATTTCTTTTCATTGTCCAGCAATGCATCCATACATTACATATTTTCAAATGTCACACCTGCAATTATTCTTAACAGAAATCTTTCTGTTTACATTTGATGTCTAAAATTGCAATGATGGCAAGCTTTTTTAGCCAAATCTTGCTTGAATACTTTTTATTGCATTGAAATGTTTATGATTGAGTGATTATTTTGTGATACTGTGCATGCATTATTTATGTATAACTTACCAATTGTCAAATCAGTAACTCTTGTGTACTCTACATAAGGACCTTTACTTTTAACAGCATGTGAACGACTACGTACATGAGCAATACCTTTATCAGATGACCGGGCTTTTTCTGCTTGTTGCTGAAATGAACAATAATGAAGAATCAGTACAAATCTGAGAATCACTATGGATCTAATAATCAGCATGCATCGGAGAATCAGTATGGATCTGAGAATCAGTATGGATCTGAC